GGGGGTGTCTTGAGTTTATTGGTGTTTTATTTGTTTTTGTTTTTTTAATTGACAAATTACTCTGTCTCTCAAAAAGCTCTCGGTCGTACAAAATCGTGTCAGAGAATAACCCTCACGTCAGCCTAGTGTCGCCTCCCTCCGTCCGTAAAGCACCATGAACCCGGCGGCGGCATACGTGCATTACCGGGTGTCAGTGGGTTATCTTTTCTTCTTTTTTTTCAATGTATATTTAGCGTGCGGCATCAGTTAAGTTAAACCAATCTATTAATTACATGTCACCCAAGTATAATTGAACCCTTCCTTTTCACAAAATCTATCTTTGTTTCCAACCATTATATTAACAGCATTTAGTTTGCACATTACGTGATACACTTTTAGTTGTTAGTGTACTCATTAATTCGACCTAGTTATTAACAGTTTTGTGAATTGGGTTGTATGAAAAATAAATAAAACACTCAAAGATTGTGTATTTCTTCACACGCTCGAATTGTACACTTACCCCTTTTAAAAAAGGTCAGCAAAACCACAGTATCTTAAATGTGTGAACTTAAATCTATTTGTACAAGAGTGACTTTTTCGAGAGTAAGAAAAAAAATCAAGAAGATAAAGTGAGGAATATAAACAACATATCACAGCAGAAATAAATCAGTGCAACGTGCTTCGTTGAAGAACCCATTTCAAACGTCTACATTTAACAAACATAGCTGAAATCCACAGTCCAATTCAAACACGTTTGCAGGCAGGTGGACCTATTACGTAGTGCTGCTTAATGAATAAGGTAGACAAACAATCCCACGAACACACCTGTGCGTGGTGGGCTGCATCTACGTCTACCTGCACTGGAGGCTCGGCCACATTCGTACACCCCTGTGCCGAAGGGTTGCCTAGTAGGCAGGCGCTAGATGCGACCCATAAAAACACCGATCGCTCGCGTGCTCAAGGTGCCTACACAATGAATGTTGCTCGAGCTCGATGTGTCGTGCGGGGGAATGTTACAGACAACGTGGACCCAAGGAGCCTGTACAACAGTGTAACAACCCCCGTGCGTTGCCGTGCGTACACTCCTGGGCGCGCAGGCGCCGGGCGGGCCGCCGGCTCCACACGGCTGCTTGCCGGGTTGGCCTACCCTGCGCATTGCAGGCGCTAAGGCCTTCAGCGTGCGTTTAGCGTTTGCTCGCGTCGTTTCGCCTTGGGGAAACGTTAGTTGTCGGGGCTCATTCAGAACACCATTTTAAAAGTTGCAACATTCATTGGCTTTTTAAAAAAAATCACAGGGTGTTGTCAAAAGCTACTATCGTAATTTGGCCTCGGCACATAACAGAATTCACTTATTGGGAAAAGGACAGGGAAAATAAAACCGTGGAGTCGAAATACTAGCGTGACGAAGTGCCGAACATTTCGAAGAAAGTGGGCGTGGGAACGTTGGTGTCCACGACCTTCTCGAAGTACTCGCGCTGAGCCTTCTGCTCCTCCTCCAGTCTCACGTTGTCCTCCATGATGCGCTTGTTGATATCCCTGGAACACATTGCGTTAATCACACGTTCACACACAAAACTCATCTGCAGCGCTGCAAACTAGGCCTCTAACCGTTGCATCCTGTCCAGCTCCCTCTGTTTCAGCTCCATGGCCTTGGCGATGTTGACGGCCAGCGCGTCCCACTCGGCCTGCTGGCGCTTCTGGGCCTCCTCCTCGACCCTCCGGGCCTCCGTCTGGCGCAGCTGCTCCCGCCGGATGGCGGCGCGCTCCTCGTCCGACATGCCGCGGTACGCCGTGGTCACGACGTGCGGCGCGCCCAGCGCGCTCACCGCGCAGTCGGGGTTCTCCGTCAGCATGTCGGACGTCAGGTGGTTGTACTGCTCCGCCTGCGCGTCCTCCGCGTCGCGACGAGCCTCCATGCGACGTGCCGCCTCCTGCTCGCTCGCCTGCATGGCAGATGGCAGGGGGAGGCACGCGAAGTGCGGGCCGCTCGTTAGGACTTCATCAAGAGAATGTACAGGATGTGCTGGAGGGTGAGACGTACCAGGACTCGGTTGTACTCTTCGGTCGTCTGCTGCAGCCGGCGGCGGCAGTCCTGCTCGATGCGGTCCAGCTGGCAAGCGCGCACGTCCCGGGCCACCATGGCGGCCTGGTACGCGTCCTCGGCGCGCCTCCGCTCCTCCTCGGCGCGCCTCCGCTCGCGCATCTGCTGCTGCAGCCACTGGCGCTGCTGGTCCGTTTGCAGGCGTCGCCGCTCCGGCTTGGCCAGGTCCTCGCCCTCAAACCTGCGGCAGACCGTGCTCATCAGGCCCATCTAGCTGGCGCGGCCGGGGCGCCGCGGGAGCAGGCAACCCAACCGACACCCCCGTCTGGCTGCCGGTTTTCTCCATCCTTACTTTTGAGCGGAAGATACTCCACATCGAGGGTCATCGTCTTGGATCCGAACGGGGATTTCTTTCTTCAGGGAGTTTGGGTCGTAAATGTCGAATTCCCTACGGTCCTCCGGTCGTTGGTAGTATTGTCGGAACGAGTTGATCTCCTGGTTGAGTCGTTTCTTTTCCTGGGGCGATGAAAGATGTTCTCGGGGTGAGACCAATTTTTTGTGCTCTGCCAATACTTACTTGTGCCGCTCGTAAACTTGCCTCTTGAATTTGACGCTCGGTGATTATAGCCAGCTGGTCATCGCGAACTCTTTGTTGGTCGAAGACCAACTGCCGCCTTCTCTCATCTTCCGCAATGCGGTGCTTTTCCTTGATTTGGTCGCCGAGTGCATCAGTATCCACCTGCACGGTGCAATGTGCGAACAGAAAGCGCGGAAGGGTGACAAAAATAGTCTATTGAACATACGTACCCAAGAAAGATGTGTTTACTTACTCCAATGACTCTATTTCGCACGTTGAAGATTCTGCACTTTCGTTGCTCTTCATTGCGTCTTCGTCTTTCGATAGCCGCCGCCTCCCGCAGGTCCTGTTTTGTGGGAATAATTTGGAAGTTCAGCATGACTGAAAGCTTTTTATAATTGTCCTGTGTATGGAGTCTGTTGCTTGCGACCGATCTGTCTGGTTGTCATAGCAACAATAGCAACGTAATGCTCAAAATGTTTCTGTCTTCTAAAAAAAACATTTCCCAACATTTATTTCAAGTAGAAATGGCCTCTATCGTTTGTTGCGCGAATGCAGACATTGATTTCCAAATTATCGGCAAAGTGGAAAGTCTGCGGCTGTGTGACGGAGTGCCGAGCCATTTGAATTTTGAAGTCGCAACTTTGGGCGGTTTGGCACGGTTATGGTGGGGGTATCTCGTATACCTCGAAGGTCGAAAACATCGGTCTTATAATACATCGAACAGCTGTAGTCAGTCGCAAACATGGCCGCCGTCGTTCTGCAAGGGAGCCTGCATCCTTTAAGTGAGATTTTTGATATTTTCAAAGTTTTTTATCATATGTTTCCGTAATTTATTCTTTTTACCACTTTTTTATATCCCCGTGGTTGCGAGTAGATGTGAACTTTTGTATAGTATTTGATTTTTTGGTGAACTGTGTCACCTCTAACCTTGCATATTTACAGTGTCAAATTGGCTTTTCCAAAATACCTTAGTTTCTCACGGTTATGGTGTGTGTCATGTGTAATTCTACTAAGTACTCAATCACAAATCTAGACTTCCTTATTCATTTTGAAATATTTTATTATTGGCAAAGCTATTTCATTGGAAGCGATTGAAAGTAAATTCTTACAGAAGTAACTGATGTTGGTCTTGGGAAAGAGTGACTTAAGTTTTGGTATACCATATCTTCTTTTATATTTTAATCATAGCAGCCCCTAACCAAAACTTAAAATTATCTTTGATTCTATTTTAAGTTTTAATCATGTGTTGTGTGTCTGTCGTTCTTTTCCTCTATTAATTAGCTCTGACCTTCCAGCGTCATGAACTTGACTTTCTCATAACGTTTTACAGAACAGCAACTGGGTGCTACTACTGCTGTGGTCAATGTCATCCATCATGCCTCCTTCAGTTCTGACATTCGTCCTATCAAGAAGCCAGCCTTGTCGCAAATGCGCAAGGGTGCTGGAGGGAGATCCAGTTTCAATGGTGTAGTTGCCACAATTTTTGGCTCCACTGGTTTTATGGGTCGATATGTGACTAATGAACTTGGGAAGCATGGCACACAAGTAAGTTTGGTTTCAGATTATTTATTTTTTTTAAGTTTAAATACCAGTTTTGTTTATTCTTACACCTAAATTTTGCAGATGATTCTCCCTTACCGTGGAGACAATTATGAAGTGGGACCTTTGAAACTTACGGGTGACCTGGGCCAAGTTTTGTTTCATCCATTTGACCTAAAAGATGAAGATTCAATTCGGCGGGCTGTTAAATATTCAAATGTAGTCATTAACCTTATTGGGAGGGACTGGGAAACAAAGAACTATAAGTTTGAGGATGTTAATGTTCATGGGGCTAGAAGACTGGCAAGGATTTCTCGGGAAATGGGTGTAGAGAAGTTTATTCACCTTTCTGCTCTGAATGCAACACCTAAACCTGAGGTGAGTGCAAGTGTTTACTTTGTGTTTCTTATTAACTTCACCTAATGAAATGGCAGCCTTCAAATTCTGTAATTCTTTGATTGTGTTTTAGCCCAAAATGCTCTGGAATGGTTCTGGGGTTTTGCGATCCAAATATTATGGCGAACTGGCTGTGCGTGAAGAATTTCCAGATGCTGTAATTTTGCGCCCTGCCCTTACCTATGGCATGGAAGATCGTTGGCTTATGTCAGTATTATTCCACTAGTCACTGTATTCTTTAATCTTCTATTTCAAAATAATAAATGTTCACTCCATTTTTGTAGGCATCATGCTGGCATGTTCCGCTCAAGTGGGAAAGCATTCCCACTTTACAAGAAGGGATTGGGAATTACAAAAATGCCAGTCCTAGTCAATGATGTTGCAATGGCAATTTATGAAGCGATCAAAAGTACAGAGAGTGCAGGTCGCACATACCAATTAATTGGGTGAGATATTAAATCCTTTTATGTTCATCACCATGAAATGCATTCATGCATATTGGTTGAATAGTACTTATCTTCTATTATTCTATCTCAAGGCCCCACCGGTACAGTCTCAATGATTTGATGCTGTGGATCATGAATGAAATGAGAATGAAAGCTGATGAAGACTTCCGGGTTACTGATATACGCTTTGACCCTATTCAAATTACAAAGGTCCTACTTGCAGAACTCCTTCCTGGAACACCTATCAATAGTTTGCACAGAGAGATTATGGAAATGGTGGGTTAATATCAAAGTAACTGCATTAGTTATATATCTTACTCTATTTTTCTTTATCACTTCTTTGTAATTCAATAAAATTTCACTTTAGGAAGCGACAACAGATGAAGTTGATTATTCTCTTCCAACTATGATAGAACTTGGTATTACACCATCACCCATGGAAGATAATATAACTTGGCTCTTGAAACCATACAAGCATCGCCCTTACATGACTGTTGAGGTAAGTTGTCTCACTTCAGCCTATACTGCTTTGTTTTGAAGATTAACTATAATTTCAACCGTCAAAATTGACCCCTTTTTTGCACCCAGGATGGAGACTTTGATAAAGTTATACCACCTAGGCCAGTGGATTAAATCAGGTCTTTGGTAGGGAGACTAGATGCCATGCTTGTAATTTTATTGTTATGAAACATTTGTAAAAATATGTAAACTACCTGCTTAACAGATTGTGTAAATAAAACAAACAAAAGTATGGAACCATTTATTAATGTTGTCTTTCTTCCAAAAAATAAATAAGCTCACCACCATTTTTAACATGATTGACTTTTCAGGCACGGTCTCTGAATTGGCGTCGCGCATGCAACCCCCATTGTAGTGCCATGGATCAGGGGCAGTGTCCTGATCTTGGACTTTCACCACCCTGGGCACTAGCGCATCCGATCTACTAGCTACCTTTCATCCTCACCCCTGCGCTGCGCCCTGCCATCATCGGCCGTCTCATGGGAATGGAGTTCTGGCACTGGAACCCTACAACAGAAACAGAAGTGTCACATCGCATTGGATGGCATGACGGCACCTCCCACCCCCTCTAGGACTCTACCACCCCCCAGTGCGAGCACGCGTACCCGTACCCTCCCAACCCCCTGACCTACCCCTCCCCTCAGTTGAATGGATACGATGGATGCGAATGCATCCATTCAAAGGGCGCTGACCGCCGAGGCGAGCCGACCGGAGCCGAGCGTCGCGACGCTCGACGCTGGCTGCGGAGGTGACCCGAACTCCGCCCCGAACGCACCCGAGGCACACCCGAAGCGGTCCGAAGCCGAGCGAGCGCGTGGCCAACGGGGCGTGGCGGGGGGCACTGCGTTTCGATGGGGGAATGCTCCTTTCCAAACTCTAACCCCTCTACGATCACAAAATACTGTTCTTGTGTTTGGGTGTGCTCTGAGGAACGGTCGCCGTGCCTGTGCCTGTGCCGTGCGCCCGTGCGCCGTGCCGCGGCCATCTGCCATGCCTCGCGCCGCCGGCCGCGCCGGCCGCGGTAGGCCGCGCCCCTCACCCCTCTCCCTCCCGATGTATCCCATCCCGGTCCGGCCGGCCGGTCCCTTCCACCCCTCCTCCCTCCCCTCCCGGCCCCAGTCCTGTCCAAACCGTGGAGAGGGGAACCTCGTGCGTCTCACCGCGGCCGCGCCGCCCTCGCCTCGCCGCAGCAGCGCGTCGCTTTACTTCGCGTCTCGTCCCGTGCAGCTCTCCTCCGCCTGTCCTCGGCGCTCCCATAGCACTCCAACACTCGGCCACACTACTTGGCGGAGCACTGCGGCAGAGCTTGCGCCGCAGGGGCTGCCGGGATGGAGTTCACGTCGGGCGCCAAGTGGATAAAGAGCGTCGCCGTGGAGCCGGGCCTGGTGCCGGCTGCCGACGCCGCCTCCAGCATGGACTACTACGACGGCAGCAGAGTGTTCACCTGGCTGGCCGACCTGTCGGGGCTACCCATTGACCAGGTAGGCCTGCCTGGCAGCATGCCTTCCCTTCGGGCACCCTTTGAGCCCTTCCCCGCCCCGCGCGAGGGTCCGAGCCGACCGGTCCAGGTCCCGGCCCACCTGCATGATAAAGGGGGCGGGGCGCCGCCGCCGGCGCGGGTCGCCATGGACCTGGGGCCGGATGGACTTGTTGCAGTTGGGCAGGGGGTGCGGTCGTAGAGCTCTCCTGGGCGGGGCGCGCAGCGGGTGACGCTGCTGCACTGCGCAGCACGGCGCTGAATCACTACTCTATCACTCGCGCCACTTTCGTTCTGCAGCGTTATGTCACTGACAGACAGCAGCCGTGGGTGGGCTGCCGCCCTTGTCCTGGCTCCCGCACCCTACCCTTGCGCCCCCAGGCCAGGTGCACCCTTGTGGGCACGCTCTTCGCCTGGGGTGCTTGTCAGAGTGTTGCTCTTGTCATCAGCCCACCTGTAGACGTGAAATCTGGCGAAATTATCCAAAAACTACGGCAAACTACTTTTGTATTAAAAGTGCGACATCTTTTACAGTTGTCCAGTCGCCACCCGACCCCCTCTCCCAAGATAAAAGGAAATATCTGACACATTTGTCATGTCATTTTCTGTTGTGTAAAATGTTCCAAATGTACTGGCATCTGCTAAAATAAGAATATTTTCTATCGAAAAAAAATATTTGCACTTGTCATTCGCAACAAATCGGTTTTTAAGTGCCAGCCAGCCACCTGCGGTCAGATGGAAAACAGGAAACAACACCCAAACATCCCCGCGTCCCGCGTCATCCGTGCGTAGCGTACGTGTACGAGAGGAGGGGAAGGGGGAGGGGGCGTACGAGATTATGCTTAACCCTTCGGTCTCCTGTCTCCTTCTGTTTCTTTATCCTTCTCTCTCTCTCTCTCCTTCTGTCTCTCTCTCCTCTCTCTTTCTTTTTCTCCCCCCTCTCTCCGTCTCTCACTCTGTCTCTCTCTTCCTCCTCCATTCGGAGCGTAAATCCAGGCCGCGATGGGGGTAGGTGGGGGCGAGAGGGGAGGGGGGTCAGAGGCGTCAGAGGTCAGGACAGGACGTGACATTTTCATCAACAGGACAGGCGGTCTGGCCCGGCCAGCAGGGCATTGTGTTCGCAAAGTGGCCGCGGACGAGCTGACATGGAGCTGAGCCTCAGCCGAGCTTATGGCTCACTCAACGAGCTCGCGACCCCACCTGCTCTGTAAGGGCGTCACTCCCTTGTGGGAGCCCTGGCAGCCGCGCCAGCAGAGCCCTGGGTGCAATGCTGCAGTGGGGTTGGAAGTAGTGCGAAACAACGCCGGTACTTCGCACGCCTCTCGATCTTTCGCGCGATAAAGCGCCGAGCCCCGCGCCGTCCCCCTCTCGACGCCCCTTCACGTCACCTGCGGCCACCTCTACCCCTCTTCCTCCTCCTCCTCCTACTGCACATGGCCGGATCAACACAATAAGTTGCGTCCCGGGGCGGGCGATATCAATGAGCGCGACGTCACAGCAGCCCAAGCTCATGAGCTGTCACACGAGACCACGGGACACTGGCGACTGGCGCCTCACTGGGGCCCCCGGCTAGTAGGTGGACGACGCCATGGGTTGAGACCCATGGACGGACTCCATGGGCAGATCCCATGGACGGACCCCATGGGTGGACCCCATGGGTGGACCTCGAGACCCTGGCGCCTCACGCACGGTGCTCTCCCTGCCCGGGGACTCGGCTGCTGGTTGGTGGGTGGACCACATGGTTGGACTCGGTCACGCTCGGGGGGGCCCGCGCCCGGGTTGTCAATGTTCTGTGTGCCGGTAGAGGAGTTGCTTGGAGCGCGGCCATGTACCGCGGGTGCACCTTTGAATGCACTCCAGTTTTGTGGGATAGCTTACCCGCTAGGGGCGGTGCCTTAGGACGAAGGGAGTAGGTAAAAGATACACTCGGTACGTAAAATACCCCGTCTGAAAGCTGTAGTACCCTCGCCACGTCCAAGATTACCATGCGTTAAGCGTTTGGCTCATCAATGTTGGCGCTTGGCCGTTCTTTTTTTGGACCGGTGGAACAGTGATAGATACTACATCTCGTTTGCTGGAGCGAAATCGTGGACCGGGGTGGCGTGACCTTGCTTATGGGGTGACCGGATCAACCCATGTGGTCCACCAACTAGCCGAGGCCCCGGGCAGGGAGAGCACGCGTGCGTGAGGCGCCAGTGTCCCGAGGTCCACCCATGGGGTCCAGGGTCCACCCAACAGCCAAGGCGGCCTGACGTGCTTATAGCTATAGTGTTTCCGGTCCCTTGACGTCGGCGGAAATGAAGGGTTGTGCCAAACTTCGAATCCGACCGACTGCATCACCGACCGCGTGCGCGATCTGGGATGTTGATGTTGTGGCCCCAACTCCTCCACGCCTCACCGGCGGCGCGACTGGCTGGCCAACGCCGCGCGGCGCGAAATATTGGCTCAATCGACCTCCCCTTCCCCCGCCCGCTCCTCCTCCTCCCGGCCCAGCCCACACAACACACTGCAGCTGCAGCCCGAGCCGAGCCATAGCCGTCTCTTTTCTGGCGGGACTCTGCTCGCCGGCCGCGGGTGGGCCTCTCCGTCACCAAGGCCGCCTCGCCCTGCTGCCCGTGCCCACTGGTTATGACGGTGGTACAGTGCATCACTCCGATGCTGCACCACCTGTTATCGACCCGGACACCGGACGGGGGCTGTCCCTTTCCTTTTGCAACCCAATCCCACCCACCAGCAGCACCCCCCCCCCTCCTCCTTTTTATCTCTCCCTCTCACTGGCAACGGCGCGCTTCTCTCACTGCCGTCAATCCGTGTCCAGCAGGAACCCCCTGGCCACAGCTTTGGCGCGAAGGGCAGGGCAGGGCGGGCAGGGCGAGCGCGGACCGCCTCGCTGGCCACAGCTCGCGCCCTCTCCACTCCATTCCGGCCAAAGCACAGCAGCCCAGTGTATTTTTGGAGCAATAAACATGTTGCGCGTTGAGTCGGGGCGCGGGGCCGGGGTGAGCGCGGGGTGGCCTAGACTTGGGCTTGGGCTCCTCGCTGGGACCTACAAGGACCTACAGGGACCTACAGGCCGCTACGAGTTTCGTGACCAGGCGTGACCAGGCGCAGGCACCCCTCAGCGGCGGCCCCCTGGCGGCGCTTCCATATTGGGGAGGCTACTTCCCCTCCGGTCCCTTCCGCCGCGCGTTCTTTCTTCCTTTTGCGTTGCTATTTCTGGACCGCGGCGCCCTCTACCATGTATACGTACCATACACCACCCCTCTCTCGTCAAACTGGTGTCCTCCCCAAGTGTAGGAACCTACCCCAGAAACCTCGACGCATCGTGCGGTTTGAGCGCGTAGGCAACCCGACCCACATGCGTGCATGCGGTAATGTCGGAAAGGGGCGGGATTATTCGACTTGTCGCAACGGCTCTTGGGCTGGGGCGCCTAGGTCGTGGAAATGGAGTCGTGATGTGGGCCACTCTTGCATGCATCACTTCAAATAGATCCTCATCCATCTCATACTTTGGGGGTGTTTGAGGCGAGCGCTGGGCTGCGTGCCAAAGAGGTGGCCCCAGCGGCACACGGGACAGGGCGAAAGAGGCGCGAGCCGCAGCTAGAAAACGAAAGTGACTTTTATTTTTCGTTGGGAAGGGGATTTGAGAGGGCCCCTTCAGATGTCCGCCCCCGCCCCGCCCAACTTTGTGCTGACCTGCGCCACCGTAGTCGACAAACATCTGAAGATTCGCGAGCTTTTCCGTTTTTCCTGTTAGATCTGGTGAAGTCGGAAGAGACTCGCACTTTTTGTTGGGGGTTATACTGTACCGCTGGCAGGCGGGCGGGCGGGTTGCCTATTCGCGTGATGCCACTAGGCGCTGTAGTGGTAACTGACGAGGCACCTGAACTCAAGCCCGCCCGCCCGCCTTCAGCTTCAGCCACAGATGTATGGCGGTCCGGACACTCTGTACCGTGTGTTTCGGAGCACGCGCCGGCGTGTTGCGGGATTGCATGCCCTAGGGCCTGTGGCGCCTTACGGGCGGACAGAGTAGGCAAACCCGCCGACTGCGACGCGTGCTCTGCAAACACCCGGTATGCGCACGTACGTTCGCCGGATGACGCATTCCCCGGCAGGAGTGCCGTGCTAATTTCTCCGCCCTTCAAAACTCACACACACACTCCACACTCCAGTGATGAACAAGCTGAGCCCATGCAGGCATGGTAGCCCCAGCCCGGCCCGCCTCTAGGCCCGCCCATCCCAGCTGCCTGACCAGCTGGTCCCGCTACATGAGTTGTTCGCCCGACTGGCCCGGCCGTCGGCCGTGGCGTGGCCCTGCGCCAGTCATAGAGGCAGGGGAAGTTCAAGGACTTTTCTCTGTCGGCGCTCCTTCTTGGCGACTTCGTAAAGACGATTTGGATTTGGAATTTGGTTCTTTGGACCGCCTTGTTTCGGGCCAGGATGTCTAGAATACGAGTCGCTGTCGTTTGTCGTGGTGTGCCTCAGGCCGCGGACAA